TCGGTTGTGAGACTGCTCTACCCTCCATCCATTCTTGCCTATCATAATAGTATATATAGAGCATATGTAGAGAAGAGAATCTGTGTTCTTAGAAGAGAGAGCAGAATTGACAAGTAGACCAATGAATACCATCTAATTCACGGATGGCATCTTGTGCATCCCTCGGGTCTTCGAAATCAAGAAAAGCATAACCAGGTGGTCTTCTAGCAACCCAAACACTAGACAAAAAGAAACAACAATGAGAGGACACACTTTACATTGGTAATCTAGTTTAGCTAAAGGAATCGAATTTCTTTCGTACCTCCTGATCACTCCATAGACACGAAACTCATCCTCGAGTTCACGCTCAGTGACTCTCGGATCCAAATTACCAACGTACACACGCGACATTAGTTCGATAACCTGTCAAATATAACTAACTATCGCATAATTAAACCGACGATAATCGTCTTAGACTCTTCAATTCAAAGACTCTGAAAGCAAACGAACACGAAACGATCAATCTCAATCACGCAGGTGTGCAAGATCCNACTCAGATTTTACAACANATACATGAACAACTCTCAGATTCAAACCGATCAGATAGACCATCACATCACAAAGAAAACAAGAGATGAATCAGAAGTAAGCGATCACCTGAAGAAAACGACGNTGGTAGAGAGAAGAGGCAAAAACACGGAAACGGCTTCTCGTCGGCTAGGGTTATCGATTCGAGACTATCGAAGATGATGAAAGTATAATAATGATATCACCGAAAAGAAATTAGTGAGGGTCAACTTTAAAGTCGTTAAAAGTCATTCCTTTCTTTGGGCTTAAAAATGGGCTATCCGGTGATTATTAACAGTTAGGCCCAGCAGGCTGAAGCTACCCCCGTCAATAGGGGCTGCCATTTCGGATAGTTCGGTTTTTTTCGGTTCGGTTATCGGATATTTCGGGTAGTCAAATTTCTACCGAATTGAACCGAAATTGTTAGACATTTTCGAAATTTCTGAGTGTAAAATCGGTTAAATTAGAAAAATTCGGTTTAATTCGGTTAATTCAGTTTGTTTATATCTTTCGGTTATACATGTTTTGAACGTTTTGGTTAAATGGGTCTAAGTAAATGGGCCTATAAATTAAATAAATGTAACGTAAGCCCTGTAAAAGAACAACTAAACCTAATTGTGAGCGACAAAGAACGTGAGTCGCCGAATACACAAAAATACCGATAACCGAACCAATTTTCAATAGTTGCTGATCGGATAAGGTGAGATAACTGAACCGTAACCGAAAACCGAAAATTTCGGTTCGGTTATAAGTACCCGAAATTCACAATTCCGTTCGGGTTCGGTTTTTCTAATATTAACTGATCGATTTTATTTTCTTTTAGCTTCTATATTATATACTACCATGCATCATGATGCTTCATCATCTCCAACACAGAGGTATCTTGGTCTAGATATGTGGATTCCTAAGATCTTGCCAAAGCCGAGATAATCACGAACATTACACAGCCTGTGAACACTTGTTTAATGTTTGGATTAAAAGCTGTATCAAAATTACATTTGACGAAAATTTAGTGAAGGTCATAATCTCTCCCTAACTCAGCCGCCGTCAAATTTTCTTTTTGCCATCTTCATCAGTGCTCCTCGCCAACGTTGCGACTTGCGAGAGGCTCCTCCTTCTCCTCTTCTTTCTTTCTCTGTTTTCTTTCCTTCGCTTTCTCCAACCGCTCGCAACGTCGCTTCCCTCCGAATTTTGGATCTTCAACGGCAGCTCCGGCATCGTTTTGATTTGGGCAAACCGTGATGCGGCTTGATGTCTTCTACAAGGGTCTCGATCGTGTCTGGTTTCGTCCGAGGTCTTGATCACCGCCGCCACTGTTAACATCACTTCTTTGGCTCCGCCTCATCTTTTCCACTCTCCTTTTATTCTCTATTGATTCTCGGTGCTTCCACCTAGCTTTGCCGGCCATTGTGTCGAGACGTGTTGCCGGTTTCAGATCTAGCTTTATCGATGCGGTGGCTCGTCATAGTCAAGCCATGTGAAGAAATTGAGTCACTCTGTGGGGACCTTTTCTCAGTCTCGTTCTCGTTTAGTTTGGCTTAGGAGGCGAATCCAGAAATCGCACCCTTGGATCATTCTTCTCGGAGGCTCTGCTTCGGTAGTTATTGTTCTGGTTCATTGGTTTGCTTTAGGATCTCTAATTGGATCTCTCCGGTGAACTAGCTTCATGTCTTCTTCCTTTGGATTTTTGCTCTGATCGACGATTGTGGCATGGATTTGTGTCGTCTCAACCATCAGTGTCGTTGCCTTGTTTTTGGAGATCTCGGTCCGGTGTGGTAAACTGTGTGGTGGCTGTGGTGAGCTCCATCGTTGTCTCCGGTGAACTTCATTCGATTTGGCTTTCTCCACATTCATTCGTAAAATTAAGCGATATTAGGCATCTTGGAGGGGATCGTGGTGGTGCTTCTGAGCGTTTGA